GGAGTTGTACGCTGTGATCAGCCTGCAAAAATGCCTGCCAGCCCCGAGATCTCCCTGCGAAATCAGATGGCCACCTCCTCCAGCTGGGTAGACCCCTATGTATCGCCCCTCCCATTGGTGGTCATTGTCTCACCTTGGGGCAATGGTTGTGTTAGGTTTGTATGTAGCTGAGTCTCTTGCCTGCTGCTTCAGCTTTTTTTGGTCTTTATCTAACCTAATGTTTTATGGAAATAGCATCGACTTTTATATCAAAGTAGAGAGAGGTAGTTAGCCACGTTAGTCTTATCACAGTAGCCAGTCTCTTTTGAGGTTATTGTGAATGCTGCTTATAATTACTCTCAGCCAGCTTTCAGGAGAGTATTGTGGATAACTACAGCTCCACCTCTCTTGTCCTCCACTTGCCCTACTAGAGTAAGTCAAACTTTTTGTTATACACAAGAAAATTCTAAAAGGTTTTGTTCCCAAATCAGGGTTGTCCAGATGACAGCCCCATGGGCTGTGTGTGGACCACTAGGGATTAATTTGCAACCCCTGGGATCTAACCCAGATGCTGCTCTCCCCATCTTCCAGTGCGGCAGAGCATGGAGTCCCAGGGGTCTGTGCACCACTGGAGGGGGTGAGGGGCACATGCCACTCGTGCAGCCCGCACAGCTTGGCACGCGTCTCATGCAGCCCCCAGCCATGCCAGAACTGAACAAGCTTTATAGTAATTTTTTTTAATGACCTGGTCTATGATTCTACTGCAGAAAAGGGGAACAGGAAGATTCAAGAAGCGGGATTTCCAGTAAATTCCAAATGTATTGGCAGGAGGAAAGAGTCTGTAGTGCTGGGAGCAAGGATTCCTGCGCTCTGCTTCTGTTTTGGCTGCAAAGTCACCGTGGGTGTTATTTTCAAATAGAAGTTCTTACTTAAATTGTGCCACCACCTTACTTTTGAATACACTGCAATTAGCAAGTTTATAATATATCTGCACATGGAAAATAGTTAGCTGGGCATACAAAACTGTTTTTCCCAAACAGTCATTTGCACTCAACTTCCTTTTACATGTAGCTGTTTTTTGAGAACACGGAGTCCTGTTTTGAAAACATGGCCTCTAATTGCCTAATGCTCACTTTTTTCCACTGGTAAAATGAATATAAAAAAAAACTTGCTTAGTTCACAGTAATTTTGCAAGATTCTTTACATGGGGGAAAATCCCATTGAATTTTAAGTTATTTACACTCTGAATAGTTGGTTCATACAGTCCTTTTAATTTATTGGGTTTTTTTTTCTGGTTCCAATGCACACAATGTGTTAATTGGTTTATATATGTTAAATCCAAAATAAAAATTGAGAAAAATAAACTTATGTATAGTCCAGGTGGCATTTTGATAAGGCAGGGAGAGAAGTCACTATTTCTCACAGAAATTAAACAGCAGAGTAAGTCAGAGTATGAATCTCTGGATTAATGCCTGAAATATGCTTCTGTCACTCTGAACTAATGCCCATTATTTCTAATATATATTAACACTAAATAGGTTGTCAGCGTAATAAGCTGTGCATATGACAAACTCGATGCGATTTCTCATGAAGATGTGGAAATTGATACTAGTATGTTCCCGAAATCAAGATGTCATTGCAACATACGTATTGAAGGGTTTTTTCCTTTAATAGCGTGGTGTCAGGCAGTAACTTCTCAGCCTTTGGAATTTCAGTGAAATAGCCAAATACCTTATTTATTTTTTCTGGCTCACTTGCCCTTCAGATTTCTACTTCTTAATGGACAGAATACAGAGTCTAAAATACAGTTTACTCTTGAAGTTAATTTCCAAGCAATTTCTAAAGTAAGCAGCAGCTAATTGCATACATTGTATCTTCACAGCAATTTCCGTTTCTTGATGATTGCCTTAGCCTATGCTATGCCATTAGGCGTGTTCTCTGGCTGGTCTGGCGTTCTGGACTTGATATTAACACCAGTTCATGTCAGTCAAGTAAGTACTTTCCTGCTCATATGCATCAGATATTTTGTAAGTGTCTGTATTATACTTGGTGCATAAATTAATGGTCAGATAATCTAGCTTAATTCTTTGCCCTGTTTGTAAGTATGATAAATGTAAATCACTTTGCTGCTGAAATGTTAAATGCAGTATACCTATTGCTTATGACATACCAAAAAGCTCCTCCTGCTTACTCTTCCCTGGCACTTAATAACACTTTTGTTAGAGTTGAATGCACCTGTTGACATTAATGAAGAGGCAAATAAATAAAAGGAAAGTAGTATTGGCTGCTGCTTTTTTAGGAGAGGAGAGAAGGAAAAAAATCAATGTTTGCAAAATGGAAAGGTCAAAGTCAGTAGGGGAAGAGATTTTTTTATTTTGAAGCTTTTAATAGAGTATTAGAAAAATCCAGAGGACATTTCCCAGCAGATGCCAATGTAAAGAGAGGTTACATCCAGGGCATAAATGATTTGACCGTGTCCTTTTTTAGATTATATTCCTTCTGGCCATTTTAGATGAGGTTTTGCCCATTAGATTTTTTTTTTTCTTTTTGCTAACATTTTTGCAGTCATCCCCCTCACCCCCGACTTTCCAGGCAGTACCTCATTTTAGCTTTAACATTTTATTTTTTATTTCCCCATACTCTTCCTCATTAGGTGGATGCAGGCTGGATTGGCTTTTGGTCTATAGTTGGAGGCTGTGTGGTTGGCATAGCAATGGCAAGGTAGGAATAAATTACCTTTCATTTTTTTCACCTGCAATGCTTATTTAGTTCATACCTTTAAAACCCTGTGCTTATATCCTCTCATCTGTGAAATATCTGCAATGGCAAATGTGCATCTCCAGGTTTATGATAGGGTGTTTCTTCTCATACAGTGATTGTGTGCGTTTCTTATGACTGGTCTTCAGAGGTTAGAAAATCTATCTGCCTGCTCATCAAATTGAGCAAGTCAAACAATCATGTCGGACAAGCGCTTTCCTATCTATTCCTTCTAGAGGTAGTTTGATCGGATAAAACTGCCTGGTATTGGAAAGACCTAGCTGAGCATCCCTGGAAAGTACTAAAGAATGTCGGTCTCCTTCAGCCAGCACTTGCTAAACACTTTAGTCCATCAAGGGCCTAAAAGAGGCTTGGAATAGAGCACAGGGTAGTGTTTACAGGGCTCACTGCCACGTAGCGTAGTGACAGTCTGTGGCCTGGGGGCTGGATCTGGCCCAACTTAGCTCCTGGGAATCCTCAGCATGTTCCAGCCTCAGCTGCAGAGGAGGCAGCCCCATGGTCCCACCACCTGCCATATTTTTTTTCCCTAC